TCATTAATTCTAGAAAAAATTGCAGAGGAAAGTTTGGAGATAGAAGAGAGGTTTGTAACAATGTTAACCCTTGAGAAACATACATGTTATTGGTAGCCCTTGTAAAGGCACAAAAGTCATTTTGTCATACATAATATATTTAATTAATAAAAGCTTCATTATTATAAATATGGACACATGCAATTGTGCTTATAAATCCTATTTATAGCACAAAAAGTCTTTTATGTCTGTTCATGAGCCCAATAATGTGTTTGTGTCCATCTTCTTTTACATTGGGCACAATATATGGTGCCCTTTATTGAATGTGCACTTTTCCACACACAAACTTCTCATTTGTGTCCTTAATTTTATAGAGACACATGTTTATTGTGCCCATTTTCAGTAAAAAAAAGGTACCCCACTCGGCACGGTTTCCGTGCCCATTATTGTTTTGTGTCTACTTTTTTTAACATTGGGCACAATAGATGGTGCCCTCTATTTAAGCTTTTTGGTGGTCAAACTTACACAACAATCTCAATTGTGCCATTTGTTTTGTACCCAAAGCTCATTTTTGTTGTAGTGTTTATTTGGTTATTAAACTAAATAAAAAGACATTTATTAGAAACAAAATGCGACACTATATAGCATGATATTCAAAGAAGCATAATGTTCCAACAACTCGAACGTCATAAATAGTAATTAAAATATACAATAATATCTAAACACATGAAACCAATATACACACACATAAAGACGATATCTGCACCGCTGCATATGTAGTTCACCACCCATTAAGCAAATGAAGGGGCGCCTATTGATTATTTCATCTCATTCCTACTACTATCTTTTTCCCCTAACATCTCTTTGAGATGCAATTATCTCTCCTTAACTGATCCAAAATTAAGAAGTCTTTGCAGAACAAGCAGGTGGAATAACTTTGCCAGTCACAGTAGGGTTCACATTAGAACATACCGATGTACAGGTGCCATTTTTCCCATTGCATGTCAAATTAATGTCACTAATTTCCACATTCTGACATGGAATGCCTTTGCTGCAAGCAAGCTTGACAGCAACAGGATCAGCAGAGGTGCCCCTAATGTTCTTGAAGCTCACATTGCTGATTTTAACCCGCGACGGCATTTTCGCTTGGCATTGGCCATTCGGGCAGTATTCTTGGTCTATAAGGACCGGGGAAGTAGTCACGTTTTCCATAATTATGTCCTCGAAATGCAAATCCGAGGCCACACCATTAGGTGAAGCAGGCCATGTCTTAACCCTAACACCATTGGAAGTGTTTTTTATGGTGCAATTTCTCACTGTGACCCCTCTTACAGGTTGCTCATCGTGGTACCTGCCTAGGCTACCAATGCTAATGCCGTGGCCTGGCCCGCACGTCACCTTCTCGATGTTAATTTGCTGGCTTCCATCACCAATGGAGACACAATCATCACCGGTTTGAATTTCTGCGCCGGTGATGTTGATGTTCGTTGACCTACCAATGTGGATTCCGTCGGTATTTAGGCTTTCGCCAGGGGCGTTGATGGTCACATGTTGAAGAGTCACGTTTTTGCAGTTCAAGATATTCATGTGGAACAACTTGCTGTTCGTAGATGTTATGTCTTGAATGTGTGCATTGGTCAGCCCAGTTAATCTTAAACTCTGTGTTCAAGGAAAAAGAAAGTCTGTTAGCAATTGTGTTAATTTTGGGTGTCTAAATAGCATTACTCATTGAGAAAATGTGGAGATAAAATTTAAAAACTTACAATAGGAAGCGAGTTGCATTTGCCAGTTTGGCACAATCATTTTTGGACCAAGCAATTGAACCTTGGCCATCAAAAGTGCCACCTCCTGAGACTGATAACGCATCAATGTTTTGGAAAATAACCCACCCATCTTGTGACTTGAGCTTTTCGGGTTCTGCCGGAGCCTGTAGGGTTCCTTCAACCCGAAGGCTAACCGGTGCTTTGCAGGGTCCTTGAAACTTCACTGGACCAACCATGTAGTTTCCCTTTGCTATCACAACCGTGCTTGGCGTAGCAGATGTACAGGCTTCTTTCCAAGCACTATTAATAGCCTAAAATCATAATCAAAACATCACTAATGTGCTAAAAAGTCCGGTTCATATTCATAGTCTGATAACATATATAATAAATGTGCTAGATATGTGACAAGAAATGCAAACGGAACCAAAATGCGCAGAAAATTGTACCTGGCTGTCATCTGTCTTTCCATCAGCCTTGGCTCCAAACTTCTTGATATCAATATCTGCAGCCTTGGCTTTTATGAAGAGTGCTACCAAGAACAAAAAGAATGTAGCTCTAAGAACAAACTTCGAACCCATGTCAGACTTCTTCTGTGTTACAAATTTTTAGAATCTGATAAACTTGATTAGTACTGGAATTAATTAAGATTGATTTGATTAGTTAATCTCAAAGGGTTCAATTTTTATAGTGTAGTAAAGGGAGCTGAAAACCACAAAATCCTGACCTAATTTTTATTTGGACTAATCTCTGACGTCCTCATGTTTTTGTGATGATTATTTTAACTCAATTTTAGGTGTCATGGTTCCTTAATTTACCTGCTAACAGGCTTTTAAACCTCTAAACCATTCACATGTCAAAAAATGCATGTCTTACTTTTTATGACAATTTACGTGTGTGGAAGAGCTTATGGCCTCTAATCTAAGATAAACCTTATTAACCAATGCACATTAATTAGGAAGTTTTATATTAAGATGCAAAATTCAAAAATGACACTCTTACCATATTTTTCATACCATATGTGTACATCTTCCTAAGACCATCTCCAATCCTTGGGCTAAAAGCCAAATTTTTTAGCCCGGAAAATTTGGCTTTTAGCCCAGAAACATCTTTTCTGCTCCAACCCTTCTGGCCTAAAATTTTAGCCCAGAATTATTAAAGAATGAACTTAGGCTAATTTTTTTCTTAAATCAATTTCTTTAAAAAAAAAATTAATATGTAGATTATTGTAAATTAATTTTATGAACATTTTAATCTAAAAAAATTTAAATTCCGATAAATATTGAAAAATCATTAAATTTTTCACAAAGCAAGCTACTTTCACCAACCTTTAAACTTTCACCAACCGTTCATCTTTCACCAACCATTCAACTCCAAACTTTCAACTTTCAACTTTCACCAACCGTTCAACACCAAACTTTCAACTTTCAACACCAAACTTTCAACTTTCACCAACCGTTCAACACAAATTTTCAACTTTCACCAACTGTTCATCAATCATCCTCTATATAAACACAGGTCCAATATTAGTTGGTCACACAATCTTTCAACCTTCAATCATCCTCTATATTCACCAATCTTTCAACTTTCAAAGAGTTTTTGTTTCCTAAAAATTCTCAATATCTCATCAATGGGTGATAGAAGCAGGCGTAGCAGGGCAATGGAGATGGCACAATACCAAGCAAGGCTTGACATTGAGGATTTAGAACTGATCAACGCCGAAGCTGAACTTGTAAACTCGTTTATGCAATATGAGCACCATGGCGAATCTAGCCATCGTGGTTCTGTCACGGGACGTTCATTTGTGCAGCGTGATAGAGAAGAGTGTCATGACCAAATGATGAAAGATTATTTCATTGAGCAGCCGAGATTTCCTGCTCATGATTTTCGGAGGCGGTTTCGGATGAGGAGAGAGCTTTTTGAAGGCATCTTGAACGCAGTTGTCAATCATGACCACTACTTTACAAGGAAGATAGATGTCGTAGGCCGACAAAGTCTATCACCTCATAAAGTGCATGCTTTGTTGATAGTCTTCCACCGATCATAAACACCACCACAGTCTCGCCCGCTACCGTTGCAGTTTTCTGGAAACTTTGCAATGATTTTATCCCACAAAACCTTTTTATTTTGATTTGTGCCAACTGCACCATCTTCACTAACAGAAACCCATGCCAAGCATAAAGAAACATCTTCCTCAAAGGTCCAATTACGACCTCTAACATGCTCTCTTGCCATGTTGAACAATTTGGAAATGGAAAGAAATGATAGAAAGATAAATTGGAAGAATTGTAGGAGAAAATTGAATTTTGTGTGGATGTTTGAACAAATACATAGGTATTTATAGAGTTTTTGGGTAAATTTTGTGTTAAATAAATTTATTTAATTATTTTAGCCGTTGGATTTAAATTTGGGCCGTTAGATCTTTTTTTTTACTGTTAGATTTGAGTATATTCAATCTCAACCGTTGGATTCAATGTATTTTAAAATAACATATTTTTAAAATTAAAGTTTGAATCTGGACCGTTGGATCAACCAACGGTCCTTAAATGCTGCCCGTCTGATTTTGAAAAGAGTCGTTGGGCTCGAATGAGTGGCCGACATGGCCTGAAGCTGGGCCCCCTTCCTGTCGGGCTCCGGTTGCAAGTTGGGGGCGTGGGGCGCGTGCGCGAGTCCACGGGCCGAGAGTGGCCCAAAACTGGGCGAGTCCACGCAGCTTGGGGGGGAATTTGGCCCAACTTTAGCATTCCCCTTTTAGCCCAATATTTTAGCTTGGGTTGGGGGGTGTTTGGGGGGAATTTTGGGCTAAAATTTTGGCTTTTAGCCCAGGGTTGGAGTTAGTCTAATAGAGATGTGACTCATATGTGCTGGTGGGCCTACTTCTATTAAAGAGATGGTACAAATATGATATGAAAAATGTGGTAGTATAGCTTACTCGAAAAAAATCGATGTTTTGAGCAGTCATCTTGGTGCTATAGGGTTTGGACATCTGAAAATAATGTTGGAAACACACATCACCAATGATGAGGTTGGAGAGAGAGTTGTAAAACTAGACTTCGCCAAGTTGGCTACAGTGGTGTGCCCCCCTCACCCTGTCTATGATAGATAGGGTAGCCAAGTGGCTTTTTGGAAATGAGACAAGTGTCTAGATCTTAGTGGTTGGTTTGTAATGGCAGCTTTGGGTTGCTAATAGCTGTAATTAGTTGTTGTTTGGTTAGCAATTAATTAGAGTCGATCTTCTGCTGGTTAATCAAAGCCATACAATTTCAAATGCAAGGCAGGTAAACTGTCAATGAACTTCTGGCTGACATTAGTGCCTTCCGTCTATATGAATATATACAAATACAAGTGGCAAATGCAGCCTGTAACGAATTTTGCATCGATACCGACTTCAAACTCTCTCAGATTCAACCTCTACTATGATGGACCAATCTTGGCACTGACTAAACAATAAATTGGTACAATCCTGCTATGGTAAAGTACAAATGCAACAAAATTGCTTTTATGCTATCGAATCTGTTTCATTTTTTGTGTTTCCCAGTGACTAGACATCTTTCCAAATCAACAGGAAGACCACCCTTCGGCTAAAGCCAACTGCAAGCACATCAAATTGACGCTTTGCTTTCAATGGTTGACTTGATTGTACTGACAAAATCGTCAATTGGCATGGTGCCAAGATCGCCACCAAACCTGGATCTTACTGTAACAGTCCCAGTTTCAACTTCCTTGGCACCAACAACAGCCAACAACAACAACAACAACAACAAAGCCTTTTCCCACTAAGTGGGGTCGGCTATATGAATCCTAGAACGCCATTGCGCTCGGTTTTGTGTCATGTCCTCCGTTAGATCCAAGTACTCTAAGTCTTTTCTTAGAGTCTCTTCCAAAGTTTTCCTAGGTCTTCCTCTACCCCTTCGGCCCTGAACCTCTGTCCCGTAGTCACATCTTCGAACCGGAGCGTCAGTCGGCCTTCTTTGCACATGTCCAAATCACCGGAGCCGATTTTCTCTCATCTTTCCTACAATTTCGGCTACTCCTACTTTACCTCGGATATCCTCATTCCCAATCTTATCCTTTCTCGTGTGCCCACACATCCCACGAAGCATCCTCATCTCCGCTACACCCATTTTGTGTACGTGTTGATGCTTCACCGCCCAACATTCTGTGCCATACAACATTGCTGGCCTTATTGCCGTCCTATAAAATTTTCCCTTGAGCTTCAGTGGCCTACGACTGTCACACAACACGCCGGATGCACTCTTACACTTCATCCATCCAGCTCGTATTCCATGGTTGAGATCTTCATCTAATTCTCCGTTCTCTTGCAAGATAGATCCTAGGTAGCGAAAACGGTCGCTTTTTGTGATCTTCGCTAGATTGCTCCGGTCATTAGTGTGGATAAGTATATAAATGGATAGAGATAGGAAAGCAAACACAAGATGTACGTGGTTCACCCAGATTGGCTACGTCCACGGAATAGAAGAGTTCTCATTAATTGTGAAGGGTTTACACAAGTACATAGGTTCAAGCTCTCCTTTAGTGAGTACAAGTGAATGATTTAGTACAAATGACATTAGAAAATATTGTGGGAGAATGATCTCGTAATCACGAAACTTCTAAGTATCGGAGTGTGGTGTCGTCTTGACTTGCCTTATCTGTCTCATAGGTAGATGTGGCATCTTCTCTGGAAGTACTCTTCCTCCATCCAGGGGTGGTATCTTCAACTGGTGGAGATGCACAAGGTAATGTATCAATTTCACTTGAAGCTTACTTGTAGTTTCAGGCTTGGTCAAGCGCGATACAAACCATGTAGTAGGAGTCCCCCAAGTCGCCGAGCTAGGGGGTCTGCTGAAAGAGGTGACAGACAAGGTAAGCAATCAGAGCTCCGACTGATTGTTCACCTTCTCCCCATCTTGCAGCAGCATGAAGGATAAAGAGAAGAAAAATGAGAAGAGATGATATGAGATACTTTTGCTTTTGAAGAAGTAACTTTCCACAGGCTTATTCTTGAACTGAGCTGGAGGGTTTTCTGGTTTCCTCCAGAGAGTATAAGGCCGACTGAAGAATTTGAGGGTCAAAACAAGTCCATCAAATCTAGAGTACGTTCCACCCTGCTGATATGGGATACTTTTGCTTTTGACAGAGTAATGGATGTATCGGCACGTGTGTTGTTACGCTTGTCTCCACATGCTTCCTTGTATCCTTCGCACTTGCCCTATCTGTTCCTCAAGCAGATGCGGAATCTTCCCTGGAAACATAAGATGTTGAAGATGAGTACTCGAGAGCAATGCCAGGTAAGTAATCAGGTAAGGGGTTCCAGGCAGTCAATTCCTGGCTGGAAGCTTGATTCCAAGTGCTGACTGATTGCTCTCTTTCTCCTTGTCTTGCAGGTAAAAACAAGGCTAAAGGAAAAGACAGGGAAAAAGCATGATATGGGATACTCTTGCTTTTAACCCTGATGATATGAGATATTCTTGCTCTAGTATAGCTTGTTTGCAGAGGTATTATCGGGGGGAAAGAAAGCTGAATATTTCGAAAGGCTTCGTTGGGAGTGCCCTCTCAGATATGATGAAGGGTTGAGCATTTTTGCAGGTCTGCCTGTCCGTTGGGGATGGAGGTCGACATATATAGGAGTCTCCCTAACAACAAGTAGTAATGCTATTCCTTTACCCTGCTTGGTCATAGCACGGTAGTGGGAGCTGCCAGTTTCACATGTTTTAACTCTGTCAGAGCACTTTGAAAAAGTGGTCTGTGGTATCTGGCTCTCGAGATTCGGAGAACGATGCCTCTTCGATTTTTGAGAAAGCAATCATGCTGGGGGTCTGGCTCTCGAGATTCGGAGAGCAGTGTCTCTTCGATTTTTGAGGAAGTAATCATGTTGGGAGTCTGGCTCTCGAGATTCGGAGGGCGGTGCCTCTTCGATTTTGGAGCAAGCAATCCTGTTGGGAGTGTTGTCTCGAATGTGAGTAAAGGTTGGGCATGTTTGCTAGTCTACCTTGCCACGAAGCACAAAGGTTGACACACAGGGACTTTCCAATTATCCAGCAATGGTACTGTTCCTTTACCCTCTCTTCGCTTTTGAGAAAGTAGTCATGTTGGGAGTCTGGCTCTCGAGATTCGGAGGACGGTGCCTCTTCGATTTTGGAGCAAGCAATCTTGTTGTGAGTGTTTTCTCGAATGTGAGTAAAGGTTGGGCATGTTTGCTAGTCTACCTTGCCACGAAGCACAGAGGTTGACACACAGGGACTTTCCAATTATCCAGCAGTGGTACTGTTCCTTTACCCTTGTGGGTAATAATATGGTAGCTAGACCTTCAAAATTTATGTGTCTAAACTTTGTTAGTGCTGTTTCTTTGCTATTATTTTACCTTTCTTGGTCAGAGCGATGTAGTGGGAGCTGCAAGCTTCACGTGCTCAACTTTGGCAGAGAACTTTAGCAAAGTTATCTGTGGTACCCATGAGCTATTGTTGCGTGTGGGAAGTGGGTGATTGAACAGTAAGATTCATGTGCTTTCTACTTCACCAGAAGTCTTCGACAGAATGCCCATAATTTCTGCAAAGCTGAGTGTGCGTGTGACAGGTGCTGACAAGGCTAGAAAAGTAGGTGCCTCTTTGATTTCTGAGATCGGCCCTCGTGGTCTCTGAGCAGCCCAGCTTTTGAGAAAGCGAGCCCCTCTTCGATTGATTCGGAGAACGATGCCTCATCGATTTTTGAGAAAGCAATCATGCTGGGGGTTTGGCTCTCGAAGATTCGGGGAGTAGTGTCTCTTCGATTTTTGAGAAAGTAATCATGTTGAGAGTCTGGCTCTCGAGATTCGGAGGGCGGTGCCTCTTCGATTTTGGAGCAAGCAATCTTGTTGGGAGTGTTTTCTCGAATGTGAGTAAAGGTTGGGCATGTTTGCTAGTCTACCTTGCCACGAAGCACAGAGGTTGACACACAGGGACTTTCCAATTATCCAGCAATGGTACTGTTCCTTTACCCTCTCTTCGATTTTTAAGAAAGTAGTCATGTTGGGAGTCTGGCTCTCGAGATTCGGAGGACGGTGCCTCTTCGATTTTAGAGCAAGCAATCTTATTGGGAGTGTTTTCTCGACTGTGAGTAAAGGTTGGGCATGTTTGCTAGTCTACCTTGCCACGAAGCACAGAGGTTGACACACAGGGACTTTCCAATTATCCAGCAGTGGTACTGTTCCTTTACCCTTGTGGGTAATAATATGGTAGCTAGACCTTCAAATTTTATGGGTCTAAACTTTGTTAGTGCTGTTTCTTTGCTATTCTTTTACCCTTCTTGGTCATAGCGATGTAGTGGGAGCTGCAAGCTTCACGTGCTCAACTTTGGCAGAGAACTTTGGCAAAATTATATGTGGTACCCATGAGCTATTGTTGCGTGTGGGAAGTGGGTGATTGAACAGTAAGATTCATGTGTTTTCTACTTCCCCAGAAGTCTTCGACAGAATGCCCATAATTTCCGCAAAGCTGAGTGTGCGTGTGACAGGTGCTGACAAGGCTGGAAAAGTAGGTGCCTCTTCGATTTCTGAGATCGGCCCTCGTGGTCTCTGGGGAGCCCAGCTTTTGAGAAAGCGAGCGCCTCTTCGATTTTTGAGATCGGCCTTCGTGGTCTTTGAGCAGCCTAACTTTTGAGAAAGCAAACGCCTCTTCGATTTCTGAGCAGGCGCCTCTTCGATTTCTGAAGCTCCGTCGAGTGCAGATTTTTATAGGGGCTGGCATTAAGTTCCAAAGCACACTTGAATCTCCACCAGTAGAAGCTTCATTCTTGCACTTCTAAGATCTTGATTTGTCCGACCTCTTCTCTCTTCAACACCTTTGAAAATGTCTGGCCCCTCCGACCGTCGTTTTGACTTGAACCTTGTTGAAGAGGCAGCCCCGCCTTCTCCAGACAACATATGGCGCCCATCCTTCGTCTCCCCTACTGGTCCTCTTACCGTTGGGGATTCCGTGATGAAGAATGATATGACCGCTGCGGTGGTGGCCAGGAACCTTCTCACTCCCAAAGATAACAGACTACTTTCCAAACGGTCTGATGAGTTAGCTGTTAAGGATTCGCTGGCTCTCAGTGTTCAGTGTGCAGGTTCTGTGTCTAATATGGCCCAACGCCTATTTGCTCGAACCCGCCCAAGTTGAATCATTGGCGGCTGAAGTGATGAGTTTCAAACAGGAGATTAGAGGGCTCAAGCATGAGAATAAACAGTTGCACCGGCTCGCACATGACTATGCTACAAACATGAAGAGGAAGCTTGACCAAATGAAGGAAACTGATGGTCAGGTTTTACTTAATCATCAGAGATTTGTGGGTTTGTTCCAAAGGCATTTATTGCCTTCGTCTTCTGGGGCTGTACCGCGTAATGAAGCTCCGAATGATCAACCTCTGATGCCTCCTCCTTCTAGGGTTGTGTCCAGTACTGAGGCTCCAAATGATCCCCCTCCGGTGCCTTCTCTTTCTGGGGCTCTACCGACTGCTGAGACTTCTCCTAAGCAACCTTTGTGAAGGCTCCCTCTTGTGTGTTTATTTTGACTCATGTATATGTACATATTTGTAGCTTATCGGGGATATCAATAAATAAGCTTTCCTTCATTTCAACGTATTGTGTTAAATACACCAAAGCCTTCTTCGCTAAGGTCTTTGAATTTTCTTTTGTTGAAGCTTGTATGTTGAAGCTTTCTGAGTGGAGCATGTAGGTTGGGGTAGTGTTCCCTTAATTTCCCGAGTGAGGAAAACTTCTCGGTTGGAGACTTGGAAAATCCAAGTCACTGAGTGGGATCGGCTATATGAATCTTAGAACGCCATTGTGCTCGATCCTGTGTCATGTCCTTCGTTAGATCCAAGTACTCTAAGTCTTTTCTTAGAGTCTCTTCCAAAGTTTTCCTAGGTCTTCCTCTACCCCTTCGGCCCTGAACCTCTGTCCCATAGTCGCATCTTCTAATCGGAGCGTCAGTAGGCCTTCTTTGCACATGTCCAAACCACCGTAACCGATTTTCTCTCATCTTTCCTTCAATTTCGGCTACTCCTACTTTACCCCGGATATCCTCATTCCTAATCTTATCCTTTCTCGTGTGCCCACACATCCAACGAAGCATCCTCATCTCCGCTACACTCATTTTGTGTACGTGTTGATGTTTCACCGCCCAACATTCTGTGCCATACAGCATCGCCGGCCTTATTGTCGTCCTATAAAATTTTCCCTTGAGCTTCAGTGGCATACGGCGGTCACACAACACGCCGGATGCACTCTTCCACTTCATCCATCCAGCTTGTATTCTATGGTTGAGATCTCCATCTAATTCTCCGTTCTTTTGCAAGATAGATCCTAGGTAACGAAAACGGTCGCTCTTTGGTATTTCTTGATCTCCGATCCTCACCCCTAACTCGTTTTGGCCTCCATTTGCACTGAACTTGCACTCCATATATTCTGTCTTTGATCGGCTTAGGCGAAGACCTTTAGATTCCAACAGCCATCAATGGAATTTTCTGTATCTCTGAATTTCTAATCAGTTTCGGCAGGCGTTCACCCTGGCAAAGTTCACCACGAATACCATTTGCTTTCAGTTTGTTGGTTACCTCTTTGCAGTAATCAAGCTGTATAAAAATCAAATTTTTGCTTTAGTGCAAAGATAATCATCTCATACTCAATAGTAACTAAACAAAAAAGACATTTATCGAAGGTTGATTTGCTTGTCTACAGAAATTTGAATGTCTCCTTTGCAGGTTCGCTTGCACATCACACAATGCACAAATTCTGTCATCTTTTGAATGGATCCATCACTTCTAAAGTGTTGGAGGGTAAAAAGATGTCATATCAGATGAATTACAAGTATACAACTAATGGTATGGAAAATCGCTCATGGGATGGATGAAAAACTGGACCCATTTTATCAATGAAAATTGAAAAGGTGAAGTAATCCAATGTAAGTTGAGCCATGCAAATTTCATGGGGCAACCAAGGCCCAATGCAGGTGTGTTGAGGGTTCTTGAGTTAATTAAAACATTAAACATGCAACTGCTTTACAAACCTGGGAGTCAGTAACTGGTACAACATGAGCTTGTACTGGTGAAAGCCATAATGGAAAATCCCCGGCATAATGCTCTATAAGGACCCCAAAAAACCGCTCCAATGACCCAAGAACAGCTCTATGAATCATGATAGGCCGCTTCTTTTCAGAGTTTGAGTCAACATATGTTATGTCAAAACGCTGTGGTAGGTTAAAATCAACCTGTACAATTTGGGAAATACAAAAGATCAAACAATGTAAAAAAATAATAATAAGTGGCTTTAGTCCATCAAACAAATCCATGGAATTCGCTCAATTCAAAAAAGATGCTTAAATCTCCAATGAACATTTTACAAAGTGATACAGAGATAGACAGAGAGACTACCAATTAAAAAACAAAGCACACATTAGAATTATCCCGCCATGAGTTCAGGATTAACCTATATAGTTGAGCACTGCCACTTCCTTCCAAGGGCATCCTCAATCTTAAGATCAATCTTTGGACCATAAAAGGCACCAGCACCTTCATCAATTTGATAGCTCCAACCTTTATCATCCAAAGCATCTCTAAGGGAAGATGTTGCTTTCGCCCATATATCATCATCTCCAACAGCTTTCTCTGGCCTCGTACAGAGATTGACCTCATATTTGTTGAAGCCAAATTGCAACAAAAGTTCTTCGGTAAGATCTAGGACACCCCTGATTTCATCTTTGATCTGATCTTCTAGACAAAATATGTGGGCATCATCCTGCAAAAGGTCCCGAGGTTAAGCAAAAAAAACACTTCATACACCTAGGATTATAGACTCACAGTTTACAAATACTAACACCATACCTGAGTAAAACCTTACACGAAAAAGACCATGCAAGCTTCCAGATAATTCGTATCTATATACGGTTCCCAACTCAGCAACTCGAATAGGAAATTCATGATATGAGTGAGGCTTCCTTTTGTAAACCAAGATATGATAGGGGCAGTTCATTGGTCGAAGCTGATATAGTCCATCCTCAACATTCATTTGATCATACATATTCTCCTTGTAGTAATCCAGATGACCACTTATCTGCCAAAGGTTCGCCTTTGCAACATGTGGAGTATACAGCAGATCGTAACCACGGTCTATGTGGATCTTTTTCCACAAATCTTCCATTACATGCCTCACAATAGCACCCTTTGGATGCCAGAACACTAAACCCCCACCAGCATCATTATGTGAAAATTCAACAATGAAAATGTTCAATGCAAGAATCCTCATAATTACAAATAATGGGATTGCTAACTTATATATCTGCGAAAACAGCAGAACGAGATTCAAGGCAATTCTGAGTACCTGTATAGAAAACAGGTCAAGAACTTGACCAAGGCGCCTGTGATCTCGACGTTTAGCTTCCACTTTGAAATGAAGATATGCCTTCAATTGATCTTCACTCTCCCATGCAGTGCCATAGATCCTCTGCAGCAGTGGTTTCTTTTCATCTCCTCTCCAGTAGGCACCAGCAATAGACTCAAGTTCGACAGCTTTTCTGTTAATATTTCCAGTTTTTTCAACATGGGGCCCCGCACATAGGTCCCACCATTCATCACCTATGAAGAATTTGGCATACTATGAGGAATTATGATATAAAGACAGTTTAATATGACAGGATGCTAGTTCAAAACACAATCAAATCCCAGAACAAGCATGCATATGTATAAACATATGTATAATTTGGTTAGCTTGACCAAAAGGTTCCTCCCACCTTCAAATTAGTCTCCTTTTCAATCTGCATATCAATAACTCATTTTTATAGAGCACCAACAACATTGTTTTCCCTGAGCACATCCCTGCCCTTTCTTTTTTTCTTTCTTTAAATTTCCATCTTAGACTCGACACAAACACTGTACATTTCACTTGTGTAGCTAATAAAAATATAAAATAAATAGCTGAGTTTTATTGATTAGCAAAATCATTTACACACAGTTCCTCCACATTAAATCATCACCTTCCATATTATATTGAGCCTGAAAATGGTGAAACCCTTACCAATATGATATATGGTAATGGGATCTTCTTTAATACTTTCCAAAATTTCCAATTTGTAAGGTTCGTTGAGAGCAGTTATTCTTTTGTGAGGTTCATCTCTTGAAACTTCTTCTCTTATGAGTGGTAAGTTTCTACCAATGATGCGATCCTACAAATCACAAAAGAAATGCTCATGAATAGTTTTCAATAGTTTCATGGTTCCAAAACTTTGATACAAACACGATAACTTATACAGAAATTCCACTTACCATCTCCTTCTTGATTCTTTTCAACTCTTTGTCTGTCATAGGCTCCATATCAAAATCATAATAGAACCCATTTTCTATCCACGGACCAATTGTCACTTTTGCATCTGGGAAGAGCTTTTGAACAGCCATGGCCATCACGTGTGCACACGGCAGTCAAACACATATAAATAGTTCATCATCATAACAGCGGAAAAGGCGCCATTAATACCAAACTACAAGGAAATTCAGAAAAAAAATGAACATAGCTCGACCTCAACACTTTATCAAATACAGAAACCCATGTATCTTCTCACATTCCCAAAAACAGGATTGAAAATTTTTCCAGCTTATGACTGCTGTACACCCATTTTTCCAAGTCCTATTCGACCAAATTTCAAATTACCGAAAAGCTATGTTCTCATTTTCTTCTACCTCACTTCCTCATTCTTCACAACAGAATCAGGTGACAATCAATAACATAGAATTGAAAATAGTTGAACAAAAGCATCGAACTTTCAAAAACAGAGCTCCAAAGAACCTAAAAATTCAAAATTTTCGCCACGAAAGCACCTCCTACTTCAATTTAACATAACACATCACAAATCCAATCAAAAGAAATGAAATTTCAATAAATACCGTGTGTCGAATCCTGAGGAGGCTCTCGGAGGACTCGTTGGTTAGAAGCACGACTTTCTCAGGCTTATCAGTTACCTCCATCTGGGCATCCTTCAATTTGTCGTCTTGGGTCGAGACCCGAGCAGCCGTGGCCATCGCCGAGGAGGTGGAGACTCCATTTCTGCCGCCGTAGAGGGACAGAGCCCTGAACTCGGAGCTCAGTGGCGAAGCGCAGTGTTTAACTGGGGAAAGGAAAGAAAAGGTCTTTAGGAGAGGGATTGAGAGGAAGGAAGAAGAAGAAGTGGCCATTGCCATTCTCTGAAGAATTAACATCTGGGTTGTGTTTGGATTTCAGAACTATGATGGGTTCGTGTGCAACGGTGGAGGGTGAGTGAGAGTGGCGTTTGTGACTTCGTTTGTGGTTGAGGTTTGGCTTTCGGTTTTTGTCCCTCGGGCGCCTTAAGAATCTTAGGACCCAAAAGAAAAAATTTGGAGCCAAATGTTGCCTTTTATATAAAAAGTAATGATTTCTAATCCAAAATATCACTACGATATAGTGGTATTACTCTTCACTTGTAAATGAGATGTCATAAGTTTGATTCTCATCAAATGCGAGTTTGAACTACATTATTACTAGCTCATTGTAAAACTAAGTTCACCTCTCCTTAGGGTAGATAATATCACTTGTTCAAAAAAAAAAATTATGTTTCAATTTTTTAAGAAAAATATATGAGATTAGAATTCTCCATCTAAATGAAATTTTACATCTCTAAGACTTACTCCAATTCTTGAAGTAAAACTCAAATTTTAAGTTTTAAATTTACCCCAACTTACTTTAACTCTTGGGAAAAATATAAGTTAAAACTCAAAACTCATTTCTAGGGCAAATTTAGTTTAGGATTTTCCCTTAGGTTAGTGGGGTTGGCCTACCATATATGTGTATTTTTTTTTTTTAGTTTTATATTTATAAATTCATTGAATCCAACATTTAAGATCTAATTTGATCTAAGGTAAAAATATATATAACGGTCCAAATTTAAATCTAACAGCTAAAGTAATTTAAAGAAATATTTTATGTGTTTCGTATTCTTTTATAGTGTTTCACGAGTTTCATGATGTCGGTTCAGTGATTTTCAATATTTATCGGAATCTAAATATTTTTAGGTTAAAATATTCATAAAATTAAATTATGATAGTCTACATAATCTTTTTTTTTTTAAGTTACTTTACCAAAAAAAAAAATTATCCTAAATTCATTCTTGTTGTAGGCCTATTTGACTTAACTGTATTTAGGACTAGAAAGGGAGAGAGGCCAGCGGCAAGAGAAAGAAAATAGAGATTTAATTGTGAGGTGTATGTTGTATCACTTCATTATGCTTATATTTATCGTAGTAGGATAAGTTAAATCTTTACCCTAATAGGATTACAAATCTAATAGAATAATATCTACTAAGGAGAATATTCCAAGATATCCCTAAATACACTTGGATTTACACAATTACATTCCTATTCTAAATATGACTACAACATTCCTCCTTGAGTGTGGAAATACTCAAACAAAATATTGCATCAGATCTTCAGCAGATAAGGTAGAACAATTGATGAAGTCGTCGACACAACGGGCGAATGCGAGTCTCTAATATAAAGAAAGTATGCATAGGCAGTAAAACTCACAAAATCTCGCTATGGTAAAACCTAAGGCAGGTGAAAACCTATAGACTAAGGAGAAAAGTGAGAAGTATGCATAATGTTTAAAACAAACGTCAAACAAGACGAAGGTAGTAAACTCAACAGAGTATGATCATCCCAGGATGGGTGCCTCATCAAAACCTCGTTAGGTAGTAAAAATCCAGTGAGAAAAATGTTCATAATCGTAGGAAAAAGAGTACATAAAGATCAAGTGAGTATGCTTCAGAATACTCCCCCTGAATTAAACATAACTTCCAAATAAGAGAACTACAAACAATTCAACTCATATAATTTATGCATACCGATTCCTTAGACAAGCTTCTGAAAAGTAGACTTGGACAATGACTTGGTAAAGAGATCGGCCAGGTTGTCTTGGGAATGGATTTGCTTGACTTCAATGTTCTGATGTTATTGTTGTTAGTGAGAATAAAAGAACTTTGGCGTTATGTGCTTGGTGTTGTCTCCCTTGATGTATCCCTTCTTTAACTGCTCGATACATGTTGCATTGTCTTCAAAGATCATCATAGGAAGGCCAACAACGGTAGTAAGACCACTAGTACTTTGAATATGTTCTATGACTGCTTTTAACCAAAAGCACTCATGCGATATTTCATGCATGGCGAGGATCTCATCATGGTTCGAAGAAGTCGCCATTGGTGTTTGCTTGGTAAACCTCCAAGATAAAGTGGTGTCTCCAACGATAAAGACATAACCCGTTTGAAAACATGCCTCATGTGGGTCAGACAGATAACTATCTGCGTAACCAAGAAGGCGGAAATCAACTCGATGACCAAAGGGGGCGGCGTCTCCTCTCGAGAATTCGTGGGTGTAAAACAAACCCAAATCCATCGTACCCTTGAGGTAGCGGAAAATCTCTTTAACATCATTCCAGTGTCTGCATGTAGGCGCATTGCTGTATCTAGCCAAAAGATTAACAGCGAATGAGATGTCTGGTCTAGTGCATTGAACCAAGTACAATAAAGCACCAATTGCAGTTAGGTATGGAACTTCAGGCTCCAAAATCTCTTCCTCATCCTCCTTGGGATAGAAATGATCTCGTTTAGCATCTAGAGTCCGAACGACCATAGGAGTACTCGAAGGCTTCGCTTTATCCTCATTAAAAGTGTTGCAACACCTTTTGGGTGTAGTTCGATTGATGTACTAGGATTCCATCCGAATAATGCTTGATCTCTAGGCCGAGACAATATCGAGTTTTTCCCAAGATCTTTCATCTTAAATTCCGATTTCAAGTGAATGGTAATTTCCTCAAGCTCTGCGGGAGTTCCGATGAGGTTCATGTCGTCGACATAAACTACAACGATAAAAAATCCAGAATGTGACTTTTTTATGAACACGCATGGGCATAGTTCGTTGTTCACATAACCCTGACTTGTCAAATATTCACTCAAACCGTTATACCACATCCGCCTAGATTGTTTGAATCCGTAGAGTGATATCATCAATCTAATAGAGAGAATTTTTCGTGGTCTAGAACTATTTGAACCAGTCAATGGAAGTCCTTCTGGAAATTTCATGTAGACTTTTGTATCTAGATTCCCATAGAGATACGTGGTTACCACATCCATAAACTGCATATTCAGTTTTTCGGAAACTACCAAACTGATAAGGTAGCGGAACGTTATGACGTCCATTACAGGGGAATATGTCTCCTCGTAATCAATCCTGGTGCGTTGAGAGAAGCTTTGCGCTACGAGGCGTGATTTGTGTCGCACTATTTCATTCTTCTCATTACGTTTTTTTACAAAAATCCACTTATAGTCCACGAGCTTCACATATGGTGGAGTAGGAGCTACAGGCTCAAACACCTTACGTTTCGCAAGCGAATCGAGTTCAACCTGAATTGCTTATTTCCAATTTGACCAATCAGTTATACGTCAGCATTCATCAACGAAACGTGGTTCAATATCGATGTTAGTAGCTACTATGTACGCAAATGCATCGTCGACGATCATCTCATTCTGATTCTAAACTTCATCCAATACTACGTAGTGGACCGAAATCTCGCGATTCTCAAGAGGTCGGGTTGTCTCATCTAAGTCATCATCATAATTTAGAATAACCTCATGTATTGGAACAAATGAGTAAATGATGGTCGAATTCAGAATAGGGTCACTAATTTGTGTCATTTTCCTCTTCCGAGGTTGTGAATCCTTTGAACCAGGAAGTTTGCCACGCTTCAGGGTAGGAACAGATGATTGGCTAGCCACCAATGTACCGAGCCGCGTGGAAGGTGCGACCAACCACCCTCAAGGATGGTTCGGCCTTCCCAGGCGATATTATAACGTACTTTAGGTACATCGATCCTTGCAGGTGCATTTGCAGCGGGTATATGTGATCTCTTCACTTTTGCTATATCAGTAAAAGCATCAAGCATGCTTTGAGCAATGCTCTGAAAATCTAGTATACGTCGCACTTCAGTTTCACATTGGGTAATTCGGATATCTAAATGAGACATAGTGGGAGCATACCACGACAATTTGCAGCATTCTACATGAATGTCAGAGTTCTTATCTTCCCCTAACGACATGAAGATGTCACATCAAAGTGACAATCCGTTAAACATGGGGTAAAAAGATCTCCTGTCAAGGGCTATAAGAAGCAAATAATTGAAGGCAAATCATAACCGACATAGATTCTCATTCTTTTCTGAAGACCCATTTTGGTACGTAGTAGTGACGCTATTGGCACATCGACTGAGTACCCAAACACAGATAAATGCAAGACATCGGGCTTGTATCCAATAACCAACTGTAACGGTGAATGAGGTTGGGTAACGGTGGGCATTAGGCAGACCAACATAACTGCATGCAATATTGCATAGCCCTAGGCAAATACTAGCAGTTTGGTTCACATAATCAAAGTTTGAGTTATCAATTGAATGTGCTTTATGAAAGCTTCTGCCATGCTTTTTTGGGTATGAATATGGGGTACATGATGTTAAACTTCGATCCCAACTGACATGCAATAATCGTCCAAAGTTTGTGACGTAAACTCTCCATCATTATCTAGTCGAATTGAATTGATCGAATAATCAAGGTGGTGAACCCTAAGCTTAATAATTTGTACTAGGAGTTTCGCAAATGCAGTGTTGCGTGTGGACAATAAGCAGACATGTGACCAACGTGTTGATGCATCAACCAACACCATAAAGTATCTAAATGGTCCGCATGTTGGTTGGATAGGTCCACAAATATCCCCTTGAATCATCTGAAGAAACTTAGGAAGGTTGTGAATAATCTTTGTAATTGAGGGTTAAGTATTCAACTTCTCTAAAGAACAAGCTTTGCATGGCGAGAATCCAACTTAGGGAGGTAAATGATGCTCATGTGATGATTTGAGGATACGGCGCATCATGTCATGTCCGAGATGTCTCATACGATTATGCTAAAGCAGTAAAGTGCCCTGGAACCCGGGTTTAGGGCCGGCCACATGGTGGGTCTCTATATCGCGAATGGTTGTACAATTCATTTGGGTGACGCTCCAGCTTATCATGAATATGCTTCTGGCCATACTCATAAGAAGTGATACAAATAAATTTAGAACCATTCTCTTTAGTGGTTTCAACATGATATTGATTATTTCCAATGTCTATAAAACTCAGCAACATTTTTCCGGAACGTGGAGAATAGATGACATCTTTAATGGTTAAGACAGTACCATTACACAACATTATACGGGCATTTCTATATCCTTCAATCAGGCTGGATGAGCCTGAGAGGGTTGTTAGAGACGCATTCTTAGGTATGAAGTTAGTAAAATAGTGTCGCTCACGCAATATGGTGTGGATAGTAGCACTATCAGCCATACAACTAACTTCTTCACTAGTCATACCCAAAAATAAATTAATTGAATTGGTCACATGCACAAATATAATTTCATTCATTCAATTAATCAATCGAGGAATGATATCCATAAAATAATTATCCAAAATTCAAAACAAACCAAAACCAAACAAATTATTCCAAAGACTTAGAAAAATTGTCCAAAAATTAAACCATAAACCTAAAAATTAGGGGGGGGGTTCGGCCACTCCTAGTGGGTTTGGCCACTAGGGATAAAAACACGCTAAAAACATGTCTAGAAGAATAAAACTTATTCGTCCATAGGGGCAGATGCCTTCTGAAATTTTGATATCTCCATGGATGTAGTAGCATCTTCGGGATGTTCCACAATGGCAAAGTTAGACTCACAACGGGAATGATACTCGGTAATAGCCTCGGGGGTAGCTCTGCATATGCGTGACCAATGATCCTTTGATCTACAGCGGTAGCACATGTCCATTTCAGTGGAAGTCGATTAAACGGTAGCTTTTTCCTTATTCTTGAAGTTTGGGGCGTTAGTTGCAAGGAGTTGGCACTTTTGGGTCAACTTTCCTCCCTTGAGTGGGCCTTGGTTCTGTTGACCTTGGGCTCGTGGGTGGGCTTGTCGCCTATTACCAAGGCCACGACGATTTTTCCGTCGTTTGTGGCTGCTAAAATTGGTCAAATGAGCTTCAGGCAAAGTGTTCAAGCCAATAGGTCGAGCTTGATGATTTCTCATCAAAAGTTGGTTCTGGTTGTCAGCGAGAAGTAAAACAGAGATCAAATCCAAAAATTTGGTGAACTTATATGCCCTATATTGTTGTTGTATGACAATATTGATGGCATGGAAGGTCGAATAGGTCTTCTCCAAGAGATCTGCATCTGTTAAGTCCACTTTACAGAACTTAAGCAGTGATCGGATTCTACAAAATTCAAAGTTGTATTCATTCACGGACTAAAGTCTTGGAAGTGTAAATGATGTTAGTCGTGTCTTACTTCAGGCAAGTAAATGTCTTTCTAGTGATTGAAACCATTGGCCAGATCAAGCAGAGAGTGTGTGGGTCCTTCTCAGCAAGGTACTCGATCTGCAATGTATCATGGATGTGTCTTCGAATGAAGATCATTGCAGTAGTTTTATGAGCTTTATCGATGGGTTTGGAGTCGGTAGGTTCCTCGATGTGGCTCTAATACCTTTTGCAATAAGATGGAGCTTCATATCTTGAACTTACTTCAGGTAGTTTCTTTCAGATACTTCCAGAGCGGTGAAATCGAGCTTATTCAAGTTTGACATGTCCCTAAAACGGAGGGTACAATAAAACGTGGTTAGTCATATGGTAATCCATAGACATACATCGTAGAACATTCGGGTTCTATAGACATGTATTGGTTTAATTTAAACATGAAAGCTACAAGTTTCATGTGGTAAGTTTTGAATGAAATTTCGGATTTCAAAGGCACTAAATATGAAACTACAGGTTCAATTTAGTTTTATGAACGATTAGTTCATAAAGGTGAGGTTCTTGCAAGAACACAAAATGCAATATGCTGATTTAAGTTCATAAAGTTGATTTGAGTTGCTTCGGAAACTCAAGTGTGAGAGTTTCGGGACTATGAAAGGATGTCAACGGTTCGAAGTAGAACAATAAATTATTGAATCGCTAATGTCCAAAAGTGATCTTTAAGTCAATAATTTTGGATTAATTATCAGATTAATGGATGGCATGTCACTTTTAATTAATTCAATAGATCGAGACCAAACGGGGTCAATTGTGGAAGCAAAATAATGATAGACGAGTCATATTAGCTTCAGTTAGTGATAAACCAAGTGATTATTAAATTAGAATTAATTGGCGTAACCTAAAGTACCCCAAAAGAAATATTTGGGTGTGAGTTATAACGCAAGCATGCCAAAAATTGGCATTGGGTCGAAAGAAAGGATGCAACCCAGCAAAAAAATGGGATGGTAATGATGTGAGGACAGGCTCTGCAGTTCGGTTGCAAGTCATTGGGCCTCAGGAGGGCTGCAGGCTTCTAGGCCGTGTGGTCTAGGTAAGCCAAGCAGCAAGTGCCGCTGGTTTGGGCCAAAAACAAGGCACAGGTTTCGGCTGGACTTTTCTAGGGTTTTAAGAACCCTAAATTGCTTCTAATTTATTTATATGTTTTGACTCACAAATTCCACATAGCAAAATAATTGCGTAATGCATGAAGCGTGTGTGTATATATATATATTAACAAATATATGAATCATATACAATATATATATATATATATATATATATATATCAGAAGGAAAATATAAATATAGGGGATTCATACATCATGGGGAATGTTTTCATGCTTCGTAGACGTTTAAAATATATTACTTTATTTTAAGCGTACCTGATTAACAAAAAACAAATAAAAACCTTTGAATTTTGTAGAAGAAAGCCTCCTCCTACGATCCTTCAGGTCCTTAACTTCTGACAAAAGCGTGCTATCCTTCAAGTGCTTAGCTTCTGGCAAAAGCGTGCTGATAACGTGTTATAGGCCTATTTGACTGAACTGTATTTAGGACTAGAGGGAGAGAGATCGGCAGTAAGAGAGAGATTTAATTATGAGGTGTGTGTTGTATCACTGTATTGTGCCTATATTTATAGTAGTAAGATAAGTTAAATCCTTACCTTAATAGGATTACAACTCTAATAGAATAATATCTACTAAGGTGAATATTCCAAGATATCCCTAAATATACTAGGACTTGCACAATTACATTCATATTCTAAATATGACTGCAACAATTCTTTAATAATCTCGAGCTAAAAATTTAATCCAGAATGGTTGGCGGATAAAAACTATTTTTGGGTTAAAATCTAAATTTTTGGGGTTAAAAATTTAGAAAAACTAATGAAAATGGCTTGAAAACTTTGAGTTTTAACGATAAGGACAAAATAAAGGGTAAAGTGAATAGTACCATGATTGATTTTTTAATGTAAAATTGTGGTTTTTCGTTAAAGTAAACAGTATTGGGAGCTTTTCCTTAAAATTTTAGATTTTAACTCAAGGGTTGGAGATGGTCCAAGTGAGAATTAGGTAAACAATAGTTTCACACGCCTGGTATTGATTTTTATAGGACTGTAAACGAGTCTAATTAAACTGAATATTGCAATTTTCAAGTTTGACTTGTTAATTTTTTTTTTTTTTCAAGCTCAGGTTAGTTTGTTTTACTTACAATTGTTATAGGAGCCTAACTCGAGTGAGCTTAAAAAGTTCAAGCTTGGACCGAACCGAGCTATTTCGAACTATTAACTTGGCAACACATTTTACTAATAGAAAATTATATAAAACATAAACCTTGCGAGACAACATTTTCAAACATACTAGTTTAAGATAGTCGCATAAACATCTCTTTCATTTTTGAGTCTTTTGGGTTGGAAGCCCGTGGGAGGCTAGTCACCACATTTATATTATCTTTAGAAACCAAAGAAGACGGTGGAGACATAATATCAATCTCCCTCGTAATAAAAATGGCCAAATTGAAGATGGTTAATTTTAAAACTTAGAGAAAAAGTAGTAAACATAATTCTTCAAAAGCAAAATTCCAAACACAATGTTCTATTCCAATTAAACTCCTTAAATAGAATCTAGTTCGAGTTGCCTTGTGACTACTCACAAGCTTTATGAGCCAAACGTACCAATATTCTAGTTTAGCTTGTTTCTTATCTAGTCGAACATAAACTTGACTTGCTTCTCACATGAGTGAGCATCGACAAGCCAAACACGAATCGAACCCAATGCAAACTCAAGTCATGCCGATTTACAACCCTAGGGTTTGACTTGAACCATCTCCAAGTTGGACTAGATTTGTAGACCAATTCAGGCAAATAAGTAAGTCTAACTAGGGTTTGGCGACCAATTCATGACAGTTAGGGTTTGTCCAAAGAAAAGACCATATATTGTCGCACTTTATGTTATGTACTATCTTATGTCTCCAACGACATAAATAACTTAACACATCCTAAAACGACAACATTATGGAAAAATGTTTTTAAGTTGATAATCCTACATTCTTAATTATTGTTTAACTTGTACATTTTAAGCTAAAAACATACCGATACAACGGAAAAACAAATGTTCCTCCATTTTTATCTTCTTCTTATCCCTTTCGCTTTGCATTCTAAGCCCTGCATTTACCATTTTCTGGTTGCAGTAGTTGTGAATCCAATCCATATCTAGTTTTCTATGCCTCTAGATTCCACGTGTCGCAAGTTTATTAGCCAGTGGATCCCCTTTGTCAACGGTTCCTATATTTGTAGACTCCAACAACTCTTTCTCAACAAAAAAAAAACAGTTATGAATTGCAGATTCTAAAATTTCCTAATCTCTTCTCTCTCTTCCTGCCTTCCTCTTAAACCCTAACATTCTCAATTCCAATTCTAAATGCAAAGTAAGAAACGTAGGAGGAGTTTTTAATGAAAATCTCTTATGATGACAAAAAAGTTGAATATGAAAACTCTTTTCAAGCCAAAGACGAGAATGCCGATAGAGCTTGTAAAGCACATGCATGAGCTTTTGATTTTTATTGATCAAAACACCGATGCGCGTGAGCAAAAGCGAAAGGAAAAGGTTTGAGTTTTACTTCACATTCATGTTGTATAATTGTTTGATTGGTTTTTCATTTTGGGTTTTGAAAAATTGAATTATACGATACATTGTGTCTATAGGGTGAGTATGGTTGAAATTAATGAAATTGTAATTTGGTTTGAATTGTACTGATTTTTTTATTTTATTTTATTTTTTTTTGAAATTTGTTATAGATGGAAGAATTGACAAAAGCAATATTGGAGATAAGAACTGTCGTATATGGAGATGATGATTCAGAACCAAATAAAGATTCTTGTGCACAACTTACCCGAGAGTTTTTTAGGGAAGACACTTTCAGGCTCCTCATTGTTTGTCTTTCAAAGCTCAACTTGGGGGTAAGCGATAAGAAATGAAAGCATGTTAGCTTAATTAGTTAATTACCATATAGATATTGTTAATTAAACGAGTTTGTGTGCCCTATTGCATTATTTAAAGATGTCACATTTGTGTTAATACATGTGATGCAGGATCGTCAAAACGCCACTCATGTCATTGCAAATTTGCAAAGGCAAAAGGTTCAGTCGCGTATAATCGCATTAGAGTATTTGGAGAATAATATTGATATTATGGATATTCTGATAAAAGGGTAAGAACGCAATGTACTAGTAATGAAGTTCATAAAATGTAATAGCCAATATTGGAATTAAAATATTAATGAACGGTTTAGTTTGATTTGGTTTAGCTACGAAGACAATAGTGATATTGCTTTATCTTATGGTGCAATTACAAGGGAATGCATTCGTCATCAGAATATTGCAAGGTGATTAACCTTTTGCTTTGTAATTGTAGTCTTAGAATTTAATTTCTTTTTAAATGAGCTTGGATATCATATCATAGTATAAATCATTCATTGGTTAATGTCACAGATATGTACTAGAATCAGACCACGTGAAGGAGTTTTTTTATTACATTCAAACTCCAAATTTCGACGTAGCATCGGATGCTGCAACTACTTTCAAGGTTCGATCCATTTCAAACACTTATCAAATTTTAATGAATGGTCATTGTTATGCTTAAAATTCCTTTCACTAGCAGCTTGATCATTAACTCATCGCATACTTTGAACAGGAGCTTATGACTAGGCACAAATCAACTGTTGCTGAATTCCTTTCTAAGAACTATGAGTGGGTAAGATTCATATAATCTTCATGAAATTTTTTGGTTATTTCAAGCTATTGGTACTTCATTTTTTTACTTTTTACATTTTCTATGTTCAGTAGAATGATCTTTATTAATATATGAATTATTAATTACCTTCTCTTGTGAATTTGGATCCAGTTTTTCCATGAGTACAATTCACAGTTGTTGGAGTCTCCCAATTATATCACCAAACGCCAGGCTATCAAGGTAATAAAATTTACAAATAATTTTTCAGCCGACTTTCTTGGATAATCCATTCAATTTGTTCCTCTATGTTATTTTCGTCTTGAGAACCAATTTATGTGTTCATCAATTGTTGTTATTGATATGCATGTCGTAATTTTGTTTCAGTTGTTAGGAGATATGTTATTGGATCGTACAAACTCTGATGTGATGGTTCGATATGTATGCTCTTTGCATAACATGATCATCCTAATGAACCTTCTCAGGGTATCGAATCTCTCTTTCTCACGAGAATTTTGCATGCATCTCTGCATCACTTATTTAATTCATTTATGTGTTTTTTATGTTTGCAGGATCCAAAGAAGACAATCAAGTTAGAAACCTTTCAGGTCTTCAAGGTTTTGTTCAGAACATCAACTTTTAACCTTTTAGTATTATAAATATTTAAAGTGTAATTAATTTCTTGTCTTTGTTAATGACAGCTCTTTGTTGCAAACCAAAATAAGCCTCCTGAGATTGTTAATGTACTTGTCAAAAATCGAACCAAGCTTATTCGTTTCCTTAACGACTTCACCATTGAGAAAGGTAGGGTTTCTTTGTTTCGATTCAAAATTTACTCCTTGCTGTTCATCTCTTTTTTTAACTCATTTTTTAATAAAAATCAAACTACAATTTTCTGCAGAGGATAAGCAGTTTGAAGCAAACAAAGCTCAAGTTATTAATGAGATTTCTGTTCTTAAACTCAAACCGAGCAATCCCAAGATGTCATCGGTCTGCAGCTTTAGAACCAATTGTGCGATTCAATGTTAAAATTGTACAGTTGAGCTATAGGCCTCGTTTCAGAACTCGATTTGAAAAGAGAAGTTGAATTGCTCTACCACTGATCAATTAAAGTTTTGTTGTCATATATCACCTACAGCTTAACTCCGTCTATTGTTCTATGCACTTGACCCTTTTTTAAGCATATTTTGGCATGCGTCAAAATATCTTTACAGTTTTTTTTTAAGGGTCACGAGCATTCAATTTTCAAGACGAAAATGTCTAGAAGGTTGAGATGGTGATGTAACTCAAATTTTCTTTTCACGTAGAAAAGTGCAAATAGGACCTATAATTTCATATTGTATTATATTCAATAACCAAGTGTAAACTGAAGATGTATCCCAATATCTTCTTTAAAGTTCTAATAAAAGTATATTTGTTTTTAATTTTGCATGAGAATTTTCATGAGCTGCATTCATTCCCTTTTTATTCTTTCTTCCTTAAATATGTTAGACTATTGTTTTCTATGTGATGTTGAAAACGAAGGCTTTCTGTTTTGGCTCAAAAAACCAAAATTTAGGTTTGGAAGTTTCATATTTTTTGTTATGTTGGGAAGGTGTTCGTATGTTTGATATTTGTATGATATAAAGATTTAAATTTTTGTTTTTGTTATTCTTTTAATCAAGTGTAGGCCTACACAAACATAATTATAAGCTCATTTAGCAACAAAATTAATGAGACATAAACTATAATGCCACATCATTGTTCAAAATCAGTTATACAAACAATCTAACTCAATTTATCTAAACTACCTATTAATGAAATTTTCTTTGTCAATCAAAATAGGGTGAAGCATGTGTTTCAATATCCTAGTGGATAGTGTGTTGCGTTTTCAACCATGCGTCCCAGGTTTGAAACTCCCCTTCCTCTAAATTATTGTTTTAGTTTCAAATCATTCCCCCTATCCTTACTAATAATAAATTTAAAAAAAAAAAACCAAAATAGGATGAAAAAACCAAATTAATTCTGTTAACCAAACTAAAGAAAAATAACCAAAATAAAAGTTATGGGCAATATAGTAAATCAAATATAAAATAATTATATTGTTTTAGTTCAAAGCCTCACAACTAAGTAACCATATTGGTTGACCCCCTTTTCTCTTCCACGGTTTTCCCAAAATAAAATAAATTTTAATGACAAAATAGTTATTCAGAAATTGTCGATAAAGATAAGAACAACCTCTTCAGCAACGAAAAATTGTTTTAAGTCGTCACAAAAAGCTTTACCAACTATTTTATATTTTCTCTCCTTGTAAAATTTTATTTTCAAAATTTTAATAAGCACATGCATAGGTTTACAATTGCTAGTTTGAAATTACTTAATGTCCAGAATACATTGTCATCCCAAAAACAATAGACATTGACAAACGTCAAAAGTTTCAAGTGATTCCCTTCAAAATTTCACGGTTTCAAGAGTGCCATTGGTAGGAGATTTAGTTTTCAATATGAAATAGCCCTGAATATTTAGATGAAAATTTAACGAAGTTAATGTGAAATAGCATATTTAAATTTTAAGAAGATTAATAGGACAATTCGCTTAACAATTTAGTTAGAATGACAAATTAAAAGAGGTTTATAAGTTTATATAATATTTTAAAAAAAATTGCCTCCTTTCAAAAGATTATGAAATAAAAGAAAAGGATTTCAGAAGGGTAAAATACAACATAAAAAATAAAAAAATTCAACATAATTCCCCAGTAGTAAGAATCAGAATATGCGATCACTTATTCATGGGTAACCCTTCAAATGTTTCACACTAATATTAAATCAACATTAATCTCAGGTACAGTAAAAACAAACCAAATGATGGTAAAAAAAAAAAAAAATGAATGAAAAAAAAAAAGAAAAAAAAGCCATCCCTTACCAGAACCCACAACTTGGCCAGGAGATTGTACAGATAAAATTCTAGAGGGAAAAAAAAATGTATCAGTCTCTCTCTTTTGATTTTTTTGGTTTTTCCTCTTTTTCTTTTGGGTATCGTCGCCTCACCGGAGATGCATGATACACTTGTGACTATATCCCGCAATCTGGTTTTACATCTCACTCAAAGACCAAAACAAAAAACCTAAAATCGTAACTCAAAACTCACAGAATTAACACAAAACCCATTTTTTTAACCTCTAACACTAAATTTGACTTCTTCAAAACAGCCACTCCCAGTTAGCTCTTACTAACCAAATTTCTCTTGCTGTAATATATAAATGGCGGTGGTGCGCAAAATTCACAATTCACCTGCTTCATTATCTTCACCTACAGTGTCGTGATATCAGAAATGACGATCCTAGGCAGCAATTCCTGAAAAACAATAGGAACGGAACCTGTAAGCGTCGGCAGTCACAAATATTGATAATTATGTGAGCAACACGCACATTGTCTAACACAAATTGCAAATGTGTTGCCGGTACTCATGGGTACTGCCCAAGAGATATCGAGTAAAACAGTATCCTAAGCAATACAAAATCTCGCTAAAAGAATGGGCGCTCGCTCATCTGAGAGATTAAGCTACGTAAATATAACAACATGCTTTATTGTTTAGAACTGTTGCAAGATTCCAGCAAACAAGTAATATGCAGCCATCATAATCTAAGCGGTTAATTGTTCACTGATGGAAACACTGCACAATTAATCTGAGCTCAAATCTGACGAGACAAGGATCAAAAAATGATACTTTCAGTGATGGCCTATTCTCTGTCCCTTGTTTATCTCTCCGTTGTTACTTTGACACACTCCTAATTGCAGCAGTTGAACATCCATAAGACAGTCACTTTTTAGCCCAACAACATCTTCCTTCTCCATAATTTCATGCCCCTGATTAGTGATTTTATTATTTAAACTGACAGACGGAGTTTAAGGGTTGTTTACGGGATAATTGTTGCCATTTGGTGAGGAAACACACACAGGTAAGAGAGAAACAGAGAGAGCCTAGACACATTTTAAGTTTAACCATGGGCTGAGCTGAATTTGTATTTTATAGACTCAACGATCTTATCATAGACTCCTTTAGATTTCTCTCAGTTTCTTCCTTAAATGCATTTAAAAACAAAAGGTAAAGATAATACTCGTATACTAATCTGCAAGGACCTTGTAGCTCAAGTTGTTAGAAGCATTTATCCCAACACCTTAGGTCTTGAGCTCAATTGCCCCCTCCTCCCTAAATAACACTTGTATAAAAACAATAAACTTAAATGCACCATTGAGTATACTTTATGTGGGCCAAGGTGTAGGAAAAAGAAAGCTCCTACTTTAAAAAGCATGCCTTCAACCTCAAATTATGAACATTAAAGCCACTTTACTGGTGAAGATAACCTAGAACGGAGAAGGAAAAGAAGCAACTTTATTACGGCACAGATGCTGGATCTCAGTAAAGACAAGGTGAACAAGTCCTTACAACAACAGATATTTTCAACCATTAAGAGCTAGGGATTGCACAATAGAGAGACAAGCAGTGCAGCAGATTAAAGAGGGAAACACGATTTTAAACATTTTTCTCATATGAAAGAAAAACAAAACATTTATGACCCAAAAATGCACATGCCTACAGAGAAAAAGAATGAACTTGAAACTCTGGTGAAAAAAAAAATTGAAAAAACAAATAAACTCAATGTAATGGAATGAGACTTTGAGAGGAACACCGTCAAAAATAGTCATATGCCTTTTAGAATACCCATTTGGAACCATCATCCCCTTAATTACTAAGATGTCGATAATCATATTTAGTTAAGCATCAAAGGTCACTAACCAGTTACAACCTCCACCAACAACACCAACAAAATCCCAATAAACTGAGTTGACCGATACAACAAATTGAAAGTCTTTTCCATTAATGTCTAAGTCCATCCCATGGTTTCCCCATTCCTTGAGTAAACTTGCCAAAAATACCTAATAAACCTAGGACTCCAAAGCAATACACTTCCCGATCAGAACAAACAACTGGCTTCCAAACCCTCCATATGGAAGATATAGGAAAGCTAAAATCTACCGTCTATTTATAATAATAATAATAATAAGACAATTAACAGATGTGTGTGGAAAACAAGCTAGAGGAATTTTGATAAGTCCAACCTTCAGATGAGCAATATCATGATTTACTCAATCTACCGAACCGCTAACTAGACAGTGACCTAATCCAACTGCACTATACAGCAGAAGCTACAGAACCATGAGCTTATTGCTACAGAACAAGATGGACCATAACCAAAAAATCACACGCAGTTCAGCAACGTTCCTCTCTTGGATGGTATGCTAAACTAAAGTTAATCCTGTACTACAGTAATCAGCTCCATGGAACATCAGCTAGAGAAAAAAACAGATTTCATGAACCTATTGTTTGGATGCAACAATTCAAATCAGTTAAATCTTGTGGATCCAGTGCAGCATAGCCAGCCAAATAAGCAAGCTCAAGAAAGTTTTGAGGTTATACGTAGACATCCATATGAATTACTAGAAAAAACAAAGTTCCCTATATTAACAATTAAAGAGAACAAATAAAAAAATGAAAAATATAAGTTACGTCAGATATAGATTAAGTGTCTCATACCTGTATTTGGCTGTCTCTTATTAACACTATAACCACCAACATAACCAGGAGAACTTTTAGCTGAAACATCAGAGGCTGCTCTGCCAAGCCCATAACCAAAGGGACCAGGTCCATCTTGATCAGAATTTGATGATCTCCAAGTAGGGTCTCCATAAACGGAATTACTACTGTAAAAGTCAGCCAAGGAACCATCAAAACCACCACCATTTGATGCAGCAAATGAAGACGTTGGGGCCACACTTGCACCACTGTTTCTTCCATACCCTCCACTTCCCAGACCGTAACTGCTATCCCTGACTCCGTAACCAAGATTCCTGCTATTGTTAGTAACATTATTTCCTCCGCCTTGAGCTGACATTGCTGAAGAAGGCCAATTAGCTCCAGAATTTCCAAACGTACGTCCTCCAATGGTCCCACTTCCTGATCCAATGTAAGCATTGCCATTTGTGGAGTTTGTTCCATAATTAAGACCACCCCCATTCCCATTCCCATTCCCATTCCCCCACAAGTTCTGAGTCTCTGAGCTGAAAAACGAAGATGTGTTTCCTCCATTATTGCCATCATACCCAATGGGGCTGCTAAACCTATTTGAAACATTGATATAATAAGGACTCAAACCCCGCCCGTAGCTCATAGTACTATTAAAGTTTGCATTTCCACCAAATCCTGGGCTCAAACCTGGCTCATAATTGATACCAATTCCATAACCAGAACCATATGGAGGAAATCCAGTTCGACCACCTGCAACTGGACTGTATCTTCCAAGTCCATAGCCTCCAACTGTACTTGGATTATACCCCTGAGTGTAGCCATTAAGGAAGCTATTGACCCTACTCAGACCATAGTTGTATCCTCCAAGAGGGCTGCGACTGGGACCAGGTGATAACTCCTTCGGAACTGCTCGCTTGACCTCAACCATTTTCCCATTCAGTTCATGAAATGTCTTAAGCAAAACCTTGTCCACTGCATCCTCAGAATCGTAAGTGATGAATCCAAAGCCTCTCGGCCTCTGGGTGTTGTGATCATACATCACCACAACATCCGTGATTGTTCCAAACTGTTCAAAGTACTTCTTGAAGTCACTCTCCGTGACAGTGGATGCTAAACCTCCAACAAAAATCTTTCTTGTGCGACCTGGACCTGGAGAACCCTGGATGCTGCCACTGCTTCTACCCAAAATATTCTGGTCATCCCTGGGAACAGCCTTCTTTGCCTCAACCTGAGAATAGAGAATGCAATAGTAAAAACGAAGATCAAATTATACAAGCTCCGTGTATTAATTTAACAGAGTAGAAGTGAAGATCAAAGTAATGCATCAACTAAACTGACCGCAGAAGAAAGATAAAACACAGAGAACTATGATTTACTCTAGCTGAATTTGAAATTAGTTTAACACAACCAAAGGAAATGAATTTGTGCAGTTACATTTTCAAACTCCTAACTGTAACAAGGAAACGAATTTGCTTCGCAATTTGAGCGATCCAGAAGGAAAAGAAATCATTTTGATTACCATCCTTCCACCGATGTTGTGCTTCTCCATTATAACATTGTCCGCCACAGCTGGGTCAGAAAATACTACAAAACCAAACCCACGAGCACGGCCTGTGGTCCGATCCTTCATGATCACAGCCTCTACCACCTCCCCGAAGCTGCTGAAATACTCTTTCAGCCGCTCCTCATTTGTATCCCAAGATATGCCGCCGATAAACAACTTACCACTGTCGGATTGCATTTTCTCTACAAGCCACAAGCACGTCATCAATTCAAGCTCGCCAAAAATCACAAATCAAACCCAAAAATGCAAACTTTAAATTAAAATTTCAATCCCAACCCGGCAAAGATGGAGCATTTTACAATGGATCCGATGTTAATTATACAATACAAACAAAAGTAAACCGATTCCGAAAAAACAAAATGCACACAATATCCAATACAATCCAACATCAACGCCCGCAGCTCAAAGTCTGAATTTTTTTTATCAATCCACCTAACTAGAACCAAATGCAGAAAATAGATACCCAACCAAACTAAAAAGAATAGTACCTTATTTTTGAAATCCTAAGAACACAGATTGTAATTTCGATTCAAAAACAAGTATTCCTGGATTCAATTTAGAAACATCCGATCCTTCACCGATCAAATACTGGACCCAGAATTAAGCACACCTACCAGAAGAAGAAAGAAGAAGAAAAAAAATAAACCAGAGAAAAATTTCAATCAGAAAATTCACCAGGATCCGAACCCACAATAAATTCAGAAAAAGCAACAAAAACCCAAATCAGATTCCCTCCATACCGGCAGATTAATGAAAACCCAGATGCCAAATCCTGCAGAAAATTAAGATCTGAGAGGAGGTACAGTAAAAATAAGAACAGAGGGCATGTTCAACCTCCTCTCCATATATCCCTCCTCCAATCCTTTTGTTTGTTCTTTCAATGGTGATTAACAAATGCAAATTCAGTTATCAAACAGATGAGTATTACCAGATTAAAAAATGTGTCTTTCTGGAGAGAGAAGGAGAGGTTTGGGAGAGAGAAATGGAGGACATTGAAGGTCTGTGATGGATATATAGGCACTACGGAAATGGGAAGCTCATGATTTTCAGCTTTTCTATTTTTTTCTATTTCTTTAGGCTTTTTTTTATTTTGTGAACAATTTGATTTGAAAATTTATGGAAATGTGTCAGTGCGAAATTTTGCCCAAATTAAGATAATAAATTTTTGTTAAAAAAAAAAAAGATAATAAATTTATCAGAAAATAATGGAAAAATATGGTTTTTCTTTTCTCTAGGATGATAAAATGGGAAGGATTACATGTCGTTCCGGTCGCCGTTCATTCCTTTTATAGTTTTTTTGGGCCAAGATCATTCCTGTTACAGTTACTGACAATACGCTGACATTTTTCTAATTTGAAACCACAATAAAGTGGGCCCAATGTCATTCTATAATGAGGCCACAAGGCATAAATTTTGAGGACTTTTTCTAGGCCTCTTTTGATCTTTGTTTTTTTATTTTCTCACACTATTTCGCTGCTGAAAGAAAAGCAGCAGTTGAGAATTTCAATTACAGATGAATACGTGTCTAATTATAATTTTTAAATTTACTTATTTGAATATGTGTGGATCACAGATTAGGGTTCAGCAGTTGCTGCTATTCTTTTTGCAACGAACTAGTGTTCTTTTTTTAATACATGCGATATTATGAGGGTATTTGAACAAATGATCTTAAATGCAAGGTGAATGTTGTTATCCAACTGAGTCATAAGTCTTTGATCTTAGTTTCTTATTGTTGATAATTTTGCTTTCTCAAATAATGACCTTAGTTTTGTACCATATTTTGATTTGCTTTTTGAACTTTCAATTTAATTCTAATCCTCTTAATCTTTGAAAACGTGTTACTTTTCATATTATTGTCAAATCTATCAAATTTTCCCGTAAACTTGAAGGTCATTCTGTCTACTCAGGTAGAGAAAACTAACACAAAAATGTTGAAAAGTTTGATGCTTGAAGAGAATCGGGATGTTACAAAAAAATAAAAATAAACTAAGAAGCCTTGAACCAAATTTGAAAGTCCACAAGAGACCTCGTTGTTCTGGATGATTGAATTATTGCACAATCAAATTTAACCATGGTAGAGTCTTTGTTATTAGAAAGTGTGTTTTTTTATTTTACTTCTTTTGAAGAGAAATTCTATAGAGAATTTTTCAAAAGTAGGACTATTCATGTATTTAGTATCACCTTTTTTTTTTTGACACAATGTTTTATAATGTTGACATGGAAATTAACGTCAAACTATGAAGTGGCAAAGAGTCCAACTTAATGCGGGAATTAAAATTTAATGAAAATATTAAAATAGACGAAGTGAGCAACATGGATGGAGTTGGTGAGTGAGCAACATGCACGATAATATTCAATGAAAATTTTAAAACTACTAAGAGGAATTTATTCTGGCGACTGATTTAGCGTGCGTAATTAACGTGCAACTTCCAAGAGGAATGTGTTCTTCACCTCATGAAGGAGTGTGCGTTTGCCAAATGTGCTTGGATTTCCACCACCCCCACCCCATGGGTTCAACCTTCAACGGTTGGACAACGGAAATGGTTCCCAGACATCTCTTTGTCCTTTTTCTGATGACATGCTGGGCTCCGTGAGGCGCAAGGAATGAGATATTGTGGACGGATAGAAATGATTCCTCATGTCTACTGGTGCTGGTGGCCAAGGCATCTGCATTTGTTGCACGAATCTGTGGCGGTCAACTCACAGCCTTTTCACTACCCAATCAATCCCCTGGTTGCTTTCGTTGGTCACCGCCGCCTACGGGTAGCCTGAAAGTGAACATAGATGGATCATGGCACTCGGATCAAAAGATTGGTGGCGCGGGGTTATTGTAAGAGATGCAGCTGCTGACTTTGTCTCGGCGGTCTGCAGGAGTTTCAGGATGTCTTTTCCCCTTTGAAGCCGGAGGCAATGGCGGTTCCCGAAGGTATAGTTTAGGCAGTGGCGAGGGGTTTTCAAAAACATTGTATTGAGAGTTTTAAAAATCATAATACACTCTCACACCTATTTTTACTTCTCACACATCTTTCGATAATCGATTGTCGGATCGAATAAATTGAAGAAGATCGGTAGCCAATTAGTACTACGGTCTAATGGTATTCCTTTTTACTTGTAAGTTAAAGGTCTTAGGTTCAGTTATTGCCAAAGGCAAATCTGAATCAGTATTGCTAGCCATTTTGAGGTTAAGCCAACCCTTTTCTCCCTGTACATAATAGCGTTTATTCAAAAAAAAAAAAACCAAAATTGAACAAGGATGTGTGAAAAGTAAAAATAAAAATATCACATTGTTCAAGCGTCCATTTTTTATAATTGATCATTGATGAGATTTTTTTTTTTTTTTGACAAGACAATAATCTTATATAGGCGAATAAGAATTCGAACTTGCATGCAAAAGACAATACTGCTCTGGCAGAGAAGCTTAACCCACACATGCTCAATTCGAAGTTAAATGTTAATTTAGGTGACCCTTATGCTCATAATTCCAAAATCTCACCAACTGAAACGTAAGGGAAAAGAATTTAAAGCCTCCATTTGCTTTTAACAAGAGCAAAGAATTTTTTTTTTAATTTAAAAGGTCACTTTCTGAAACTAAATACAATAAGAAAAGTCTTGGGATGGAAAAAGGTAACTATGAATTATATTTGGTAGGTTTCGGATCATGCATGTTCGTGCTCCCCACGAAAGGGACTTTGCATGATTTGGTCTTTCCACACGATCGTTACTTTTTCATTATCATTATTGTCACAACGCTATTTAATATTATTAACACGTGAATGATATGCTAACAATGTCATCTACTTGTATTATAATATATGAATTAGTACTATTACGTAGTTGTGTGAGTTGTGAGCGTTATCTTAAAAAAAAATTGTTGTTGTTATTAGGGGTAATATTGTAAAGGACAAAACTTAGTATTCTTAAGTTTTGTTATTTCAGTTTTATTTTGCATAGTTGGTTGGTTAGGGTGAGCTATCAATACAAGAGTGTTAGTATCTTGTATATAAATACTTGAGTGTGATCTTATTGATTAACTAATGAAAATACAGTTACCAATAATTGCTCTTTTGAAGTTTAATGATTTCTTTTACCTATCGTGTTTTTAGAATCTACAATTGTTTAATATACTGTCTCTTAATTAATATAATTATATTTCTCTTCCTAATGTTTGAAGAGACCTCAAGTTCAAATTGAAACTTCTCGTAATAAGTAATGATAATATAAGAAATAAAAACTTATAACAAATATCACCCATATGTACATATTGACTCTGTTACAAGCTTTACAAGGCAAGAGATTAGTAATTTAGTATTCCTTTTGCCAATGGTAGAGAGCTTTCATTAAACAAAGTTCAATCAGACAAATTACTAATTTAATAATTAGTAATTTAGTATGGGCATATTATATCCAAATTTGATCGATCTATTGGTTAGTTAATGTGCTGATGATGGGATCCGAAGCCATCATACCCTCACATGCATACAAAGTCATACACTTACATATTATATTGATACATGTACTATTATGTATAAGGACGAATTCATAGCACCACTTTTATAAAAAAATTGACACATTTTTGTGAAGTTTATTCCGCAATGTATTTCAATAACCGAACCATTTATCTTTAAATCTTCCCTTAAAGATCATGTCTACCAAAAAATCACCTAAATCTGAAACCATATGACTATTAGGTTAAAGATTTGAGATTTCTTTGTAGATCTGTGTTCGTCCATTTTCTTCATTACAATGAATGCCTTTATGGTTTTGGATTTTTTAAATTCTTTGCAAAAATGATCTATGAAAAATGTTTAAAAGATAGATGGTTAGAATCGTTAAAATAAGGTACGTGATATCCACACACCTCTTATTAATTTATATCCACACACCTTATTAATGGATATCACGTACCTTATTAAAAGTGTATTAAGTAAAAAAATGTGTGTGAATAGAGCACCTCTAAAATAAATTACGAAGTGAGCCTCATAAAAACGTATATCAAAAGTTGTAAAAAAATTGGTGCCGTGAATACGCCTCGTGTGTGCGCGCGCGCGTGTGTAAGTTTGTACTTGAAAGAGGAATGCATATGCCTTAAGCTTGTGTTGTCACCTTGATTCTAAATTATAATTAATAATTTAATCATGCAGTATCTTAATTATTAATTAATCTTCTTCAAGCTCCATATCCAGTAATCCATGGAAATAACTGCAAGAACTTTTTATTTATTTTCCTTTTATAATTTTCAATTTTCTCAATTTTCTCAATCTTCTTAATCTTCTTGTGGTTACTTATTCCTGCTGAAACTAAAACCCGCTCTGATTGCACCTTTTCGACCAACTGAATCTTCGGTTCTTGAAGTGACCTTTCAGGTACTACAACCCCGCCTTCATTGGAACTACATTCAATCCACCAGAAGCATCCAATTTTGCTAGCAGAACTACTCAAGCTTCTACAGGATGGATTGCATAGGTAATCAATCCAACCGGAAGGCTATCATCGGTCTTTGCACAGTTGTAACGGGAGAGAAGCAGTTCATACAACACCGATAACCAGTTACAACCGCTGAATGCAAACAAGACCTCTTGCTTTCAAGTTTCAAACGTATCTGCAGAATAGCTAATAGCACCACATTCAATCATATACGGCAACCTGGGCCAAATATTCAAAACCGTCAGAAAAATTATTTTCCGTCAGGGTGAACAACTCCGGTCATCTTTGCTACCATGTTTTTTCTTTATGTGTTTAACAGCAATAGCTTACTAACCAACCAGCAGGCGAAAAGAAATACGTAATTACAGAAGGGTGAAAATGGATAGAAAATTAGTAAACCAGCAAAAATTATCTTCAAATTGGATTGAATGTGAATTCTAGCCCTAGCATTTTAGTGTAGCCCTGTTCAGTAAGGTTAACTTCCATGATACGGTAGAGTCTAAACAAACATATAGGCCTACCAAGCACTGGTGAAAGAGTTGATGTTGATTGTGAAGTACAGAATTGGCACAAACAAATAGGCCCTTGACAGATAGGTATGAGTCACGAAGCTACCCATCTGCAGCAGCTCCTCATGCTTGTTCTTTGTTACATGT